AGCCCGGAGGCTGAATGCACCACAACTCACACAAAAGGTCAGAACTGTCTTTGTGTATTAATCTTTCTCTGCTCAGCCTGACGAGACAACTTCATGTTCATTCTGATATCCACAGAGAACATTTGCCTAATTTTGTGTTATGCATTTACTGTATGTAGCAATGACAATCAGCAGATACACCGCGTGCAAAGTGCCCCCTGTATATAAACTAGAGGAACGTCTGTGCTACCTCCTCATATCTATTCAGGGGATTGCTATTAAAGCAAAGCTAAAGCCAAAAAAATGTTTTTCTAGTTTTAGATAGAGCATTGAATGGTTAGGAGTTGTGACTGCTTTGTTTTCTAGATGTTGGTGTAAAATTGGAGAGATTTCACTTCATTTCCTGTCCCAGAGAAACAATAGGAATTGAGTAAAGCCCCCTAGGTAACTGGCATCAGAACAGGTGTCCCTGTTGGAAAATGTCCCCCTTCAGCCATTTTGGTGAATCTCACTTGCAGGTAAGCAGAATGAAAAACAAGTTGGGGGTTCTAATCCTTCAATTTATTCAGAACTAAAAGAATGGCTTTAGATCAGGGGTAACCAAACTGTGGCCCTCCAGCTGTGGTGAAACTACAACTCCCATGATGCAGTTCTCTCCGGGAGTCACGTCTGTGGCTGTGAGAATCTTGCAATGCCTCATGGGATTTGTAGTTCCACCACAGCTGGAGGGCCGGAGTTTGGCTACCCCTGCTTTAGATGATATACTTCTAACCTTTCAGGTGAACAGGGTGATGGGGGAAGGCAGGGAAGGTTGGCTGGTGGGACTGGACGGCATAGGTCTAAATCATTTAAACACTTGTTATAAATTTTATGAACATCAGCTGATAGCAGCTTTACAATCTGAATCAAACATTAAAGGCTTTAAACTTTTAGGCCTGGTTCACACCTGGGCGTTTTACAGCGCGTTCCTACGCTCTGTAAAACGCTCAACATGTGAAAACCAATGATTGCCTATGGGCATGGTTCCCACCTGGGCGTTTTACAGCGAGTAGGAACGCGCTGCACAACGCCCTACGCCAAAAGAAGTACAGGAGCTTCTTTGGGGCGTATTTGCCACGCGTATCCATTGGGATACAGCCAGGTAGCTTTTTTTTACCGCGAATCGCGCATATTCGATACGCCTAGGTGTGAACCCAGCCTGAAGCTGACCATCCACCTACAGATTATCTGCAGACTTTCTATGGTCAGATGGAAAAAGAGCAACAGATTCCTCCATCTACACTAAACTGTGTGGCCGGAGGAATCTCCCACTGGGCCAAGCTTCAGTATCTTGCTAGTCTGCCCCACTGGCTCTCAAAACACCTGAACAATCTGATTGGATGCAGGCACTGTTCTGGTATTTAGAGAGCCAGTGGGGCCGACTAGCAAGATACTGAAGCTTGGCCCAGTGAGAGATTCCTCCGTCCACACAGTGTAGCGTAGATGGAGGAATCTGTTGCTCTTTTTCCATCTGACCATAGAAAGTCTGCAGATAATCTATAGGTGTATGGCCAGCTTAAGAGATCTGAGCACCACAATTCATGGTGATGTTTGAAAAAAGCAATTATTATAGTTTATTTGATTTTTTTAAAGTTTGAAGATTTTGATATTATTATTATACAGGATTTATATAGTGCCAACAGTTTGCGCAGCGCTTTACAATATGAGGAAGACATTACAGTTACCATACAAGACAAGATGGTAAGGGGGCCCATGCCTGGAGCAGGCAAAATCTGGAGCAGTTACCCATGGCAACCAATCAGCTTCTCTCTTTCAATTTCAAATCTTAACTGAACAAACTGAAGAGAGAAGCCTATTGGTTGCCATGCACATCTGCTTCAGATTTCGTCTGCTCCAATTTTGATATATTCCCCCCCCACAGTATGTGGTTTGAGGGGTACCTTCTCCTTGGAAAACAGTGATGACAGACAGAGGGGAGAAAGGTGGCAAGCCCGAAATAAGACGGCAGGGCAGGGTAAACCAAACTGGCTGGGGGAAAGAATCTGGCGAAGGCAAGAAATACAGAAAGCGGAAGCCCACAAACACGGTTATTTAAACCGCTATATCACCCACAGGGCATCCCAGAATGGAGGACTCTTACCTCTAACCATGGAGTTTGTCCCCTGGAGAGGCTGAACCAGGCAGGGATGGTAGGGAAAGATCACAAAAAGGAATGCAAGTGGAGGGCGAATGCTTCAATTTATGCTTTTTTGGGGGGGTTGTCCTAGGGGTCGCGGGGCAGAACCAGACCCAGTGGTAGGGTGACATATGCTGAATATTTTTATGAGTTCTTTATTAAACATATAGATATATATATGGTTTGGGGGTTACCATCTCCTTGGAAAGCAGTGATGAGAAATGTTGTGAAGGACTTTTCATTTGACGTTTATTGCATAGACCATGGGTAGGCAACCTCGGCACTCCAACTGTGCGGAAATTACATACTTCATGAGGCATTGTGAGACTCTGACAGACGCAGGCATGACGTGATTTAGGGCCTGTCCACACGACGTCCGTTTTGTGTGCTGACCGTCTCCGTACGCTGCTGCACTCAAAATGCATCCCAATGTATCCCTATGTGTTTTATGGGCTACAGTTCTGACGTGCGCAGTCCGTTCAGCTTACGACAGAAAAAATACTGTATGTCACATATTGTCAGGTCCGGTTACGCAAACGCGTCAAAAACGCACTGCGCTGCAGCTAACATACTAACAGCCCCACTCCAGCAAGAAAACTGGAACGCATCAAAAACGCGGCCAAAAACGCACTGCATCAGCAGCTCCACGTCTGCTGATCAGGACCTGATCTCATGTGAACAGGCCCTTAGAGTTTCACCACTGTTGGTGTGCCATGGTTGTCTACCCCTGGTGTAGCCTATCAAGAGAACCGGTCACTTTGACCTGCATAGGGAATTTACACGCTCCTTTTAATGTATCTGAGAGCTGGGGTAAACTTCTATGGCTGGCCCAACTTCCAGAAAAACATTTTTTCCCAAGTTTGGAAAGATTGGGATAGTCTTAGAGCTAGGTTTTCACCATTGTCTCTGTTCAAGTGACTTCCCCTTAGTTCCTATCCCATAGACATGTTAGGAAGTGAGAGTCAATCTTTGAAAAAATTTAAGAAAATCCAACCTTTGACAGCTGTCACCGAAAAGGGTAATTGCCACATCAAGCCCCAAAAGCAGCTGATCCAACACACTTGGAATAAAATCTTCATTTAAAAAAAAGACAAAAAGGAAGTTGAATCCTCTTCTATATTTAGCAAAATAAGAAAGCTTCAAATTAAAGTTTATGAAAAAGATTAATAATGATCAACACTCCTATTCATCTGTCTGAAATATCCTTCATAGAGAACACAGGTAGCCTGACAACACAGATGCTGGCATTCAAGGTTTAAGTGAACCTGTCACAAACATTCAAACGAAGCATATGATGAAAAATGCATAACAAGAGGCGACCTTCAATGAAAACTGCACGTCAAAGCAGAATCATAGCCAGCTAAAGTTGTATAAAAATCTCAACTATTTATTTAAAAGTCTAACTTGGTCCCACACATACAAAAATCCTATTTCCCTAATGTCTATTGAGGGACACAAGAATTCTAAAGCCTTAGGGACATTGAAAAGCAGCCCAACAGTGGAATGGGCCCCACAGACAAAAATACAGGCCCACCAAGTACAGGGGACTGCCTACAGAGCCACATGAAGGACCTTACGCCTGAAGCTGGCATCAGATGAGGCAAAAACATCCACCTGGCAGAACTTAAGAGAATGTGTTAATAGAAGACCAACTAACAACTTTGCAAACCTGGGAAATAGAGGCGATGCCATAATGCCCAAAAAGTGTTCACTGCCTGGGTGGTGCGAGTCTTAAATGGGAAGGGAGGAACCCGATCCTTGAGACCATGAGCCCTGAAGAATGGTCTGTGTGAGCCACCTAGAAACGGTGGAGTGAGAAGCTGGGGCACCCTTCTTAGGGTCATCCAAAATAACAAAAAGGAATCTGTCTTCCAAAAAGAAGCCGTGGTTCAGAGATAAACTTGCACAGCCCGAGCCACATCCAGACAATGAAGAAAAAACAGCAGAATGGAGCTGGATACAAGGACGGAAGGGCAATGTCCTCATTTAGAAGAAAGGCAGAGAGGGAGGCCTAGATCTCAACACCACCTTATGCAGGATAAGGCTGTCAGATCAAACACTCACTTTGCCGAGGTGATCGTGACAAGGAAAACTAGCTAGTGGGTCGGAGCAGAGTGAAGAATGTCTCTGATGGGTTCAGACAAGGACTTTTAGAGTACTGAAGAAAACCAGATTTAAATCCCATGAAAGCAAATGGAATCTGACCAGGGAAGTCACATGGGAGCCCCCTGCCATGTCCAATCCTACTGTAGGTGGCACTATAACTCAGATGTTTCAGTATCCATGTGTCCTTCAATGGATGAGAGAGAATGTAATGTTCCTAAATAGTTTGGGACCTGTAACAGCTATAAATGTCTATCTGTCCAATCGTTCTCTAGGTGGCAATATACCACAAACGCTTCACTATCAATGTGTCCTTCAATGGATGAGAGAGAATGTAATGTTCCTAAATAGTTTGGGACCTGTAATGGCTATAAATGCCTCTCTGTCTAATCCTTCTGTAAGTGGCACTATACCACAAAGGTTCCAGTATCTAGGTGTCCTTCAATAGATGGGAGAATGTAATGTTCTGGGCCTGTAACAGCTATAAATGCCTCTCTGTGACCACATGCTATTGCAACGAATGCGTATCAATGAGTTTCTGATTTTGCACAGCTGCAATGTCTCCTAGTTAGCACCTCAATGACGGACTTTAGTTGCTGCTCCGAGTTTTCAGTTCCCCTCATAGCAGCTTCTGAATCTGTCCACCAGCAACGTCATCAAAAGAAATGCCAAGAAATACATAAAGACTATTTAACAGCAAACCGTGTACGAATTAAAAGCATACGATGCAACAAAGGTAGCATGGTATAATCTTTTTAATAACACAAGTCATAGGTTTCTACACTTAAAACATCATCATCATCATAATAGAAAAATAAAACAAAACTAGAAAAGAATGGGTGTTTATTCACACAGTTCCAAAATATGGAGAAAATAACCCGGGGGAGCATTGAGACCAACTGAATTGGATGATGGAGGTCTCAATACAAATTAGAAGCAGTTCAAAAGCCACGAGATGTCCTCAAATGATAAGTTAAAATATTCCGTCTTCTGGGTGAAGCACATAAAACTGTACTACTTGATGTATTTCTCCATGAATTTCTTGTGGAACTCGGAGCGCAGGGTGTCGTTCACAAATCTTTTGTTCTTTTTCATTTCATCTACTCCTTTAGCGCAGTTCTTAAACACAACGTCATCATCCCACCTGAGGGGAGAAATAATTCAGGACTGCAGATTAATGAACACATAGGAGGGAGTTATACAACCCAAAGAACACAGCCAGATTTATCATTATTTATTACAGGTATAGAGCACTGACAATTTACACAGAGCACATCCACATCAGTCCCCCGGGGCCACAAGGAGCTTACAATCTAGGTCCTTATCTCACATACATATAGGGCCAATTTAGACAGGAGCCACTTAATCTACCAGCATGTCTTTGGAGTGTGGGAGGAAACCGGAGTACCCGGAGGAAGCCCACGCAAGCACAGGTAGAACATGCAAACTCCTTGCAGATAGTGACCTGACCAGTATTTGAACCGGGGATCCAGTGCTGCAAGGCAGAAGTGCTAACCACTACGCCACTGTACTGCGAGCTGTACCGCTGTAATCACTGCAAAAGCGATTACGTGGCTGAAAATGTACGGTCCAAAAGATCTTTAACATTTCGTTTTTAGTACTTTAGTAGTTAGTTTTTCCTTTTAGTTTCCTTTCAATCAGGCAAACATATAAAATATGAATATCTTAAATACCAATTGCAACAAACAGATGGCAAGATCAGAAGAGCAAAGTTACTCAAAAACAGTATTTTTGTGAAGGAGCAGAAGAGCTTAGATTTTACACAGTGCTAAATGACTCAATGGAGTGAATTCCCCTCTCTATCTCCTAGAAGATAAACAAAATTAAGTATCATGGGTTAACTTTTTTGTAAATTAAAAAGAGAACTACGGCGAAACCTTTTTTGGATGTCACTCTCTTTAGGGTTACAGGAGGACATTTACTAATGTCCTCCTGGTAACCCAAAACTCAGCATATATAGCTGCGCTATACGCTATATGCTGAGAGCGCAGAGCTGCAGCAGGGAAGGATCCTGACAATATTGTTGGGATCCTCCTCGCTGCCTGATTGACAGCTAGCTCTGCCTATCTAGAACCACCCCCTCCCCTGTCCGTTCCGCCAGTCAGCGCTGCAGGAATACAGAGGAGACGGGGGAATCCCTGTGGGGAGCACTGACCCCGCAGTCTTCTCTGCAGGGAGAAAATCATGAACTGAGCGATCCACGGTATGCGATTGTTCAGTTATTCATCAATAGACCGACAGCTGCAGTGCCACATGTCGGCTCTAACTATGGGGATAAGTGTATTTTGCTAATCTCAGCATTCTCCTTTTAAATGACAAAACATAATTTGCAACTGATTAAAGGAAACAAAAAATAAAGGTTTACCCATTTATGTACAACCACAATGCTGAATGTAACCAAGGATGCTAGAATTGAGATTTAAGGCCTCCGTTTCATACCAAGGGGTTTCCTTTTTCATTCTCCTGATCTAATTGCAGAGTGGCCAGCCTGTGTTTCCCCTTGGTTACCATACTGCACCTCTACTAGGCTATCATGCTGACCCTCTAGCTTCACAATTTCTAATCAAAGGGAGCAAATAAACAGATAAGCACTTTACTATTCACTGACTGACTTTCTCTCATGGCAGAGAGCCGTGACAGGATCGAGATGGTGAGCGAACGCCGGTATGTGTTCGCTCACTTCCCGATCTACTGAGCCGACCTGTGACAGTCTCATTGTCACAGGTCGGCTAGAACTATGAGGTGAGTGAAAAGCACTCACCTCAGAGTTCTCCTTTAAATATTAATTCAAGTACCTTAACTATTAACAATAATGTATCTTATTTGTGTATCACTCGGCTGTAGATCCTCCAATCATCTCTGAATTGGTGCTGACACTGTCCTTCCTTCTGGAGGGGGGCTCCTTCTGTTCCCTAAGGTCCCTGTGTATGTTGTAAAAGTAGTCAGCACTCTAAGCTTACTCCCGGGATGGACTACAATCTCCATAGAAATGAGTAAACTAAACGTGAGATTGTAGTCCATCACAGGCGTGAGCTTGGAGTGGTGGCTACTTTACAACACACACAGGGACCATGGGGAACAAAAGTAGCCCCCCTCCAGAAGGAAGGACAGTGTCAGCACCAATTCAGAGATGATTTGAGGAGCTACAGCCGAGTGATACACAATTAAGATACCATTTTGGTAATAGTTAAGGTACTTAACTAAGATTTAACTGCTGAGTTTAGTGTCATCTAAAAGCAGAACTCACGGAAAAAATGTTTTGGGAAACATCACAAGTCAAATAAGTTGCCTCCATTGAGACGGTCTTATTTGCTGCTGCTTACTGTACAAGTCATAGCTTCATTGGTGCCGGATACTACGCACATCGCTCTTCTTCCAGCCTGGCGTCTGACAGTTCCGGCTCTCATAGAGTGAATGGATCCTGTAGTTTACCTGCCCTTCCTCCACCCTTGTCCAGTCACAGAACTCCTTGCATTCTATGAACAGAATAAAAGGTGTTTTGTGAATGCATGAGAGGATGGGTTGGGAGAAGAGGATCCCATCCCTGTACAAAGGCTGGAAGAAGAGCACTGTGTGCAGTGTTCGGCATCAATGAAGCTATGACTTGTACCAAAAGCAGCAACAAATCAGACAATCTCAAATGACTTGACTTGTGGCGTTTCCAACAAATATCTGTTCTGAATTTCCACTTTAAAAGTGGAACGCTGCAAGTCAGCCTAGTATGTAATCTCTACAGCTTGAGGCTTCTTGTGCAGTCGAGCACAATATTTCATATTCAATTGCTGCCACTAAAGGGGATCTCTAGACAAGTAACTAAATATACGACTAAAATAAAAATATGGAAACTTTTTCTGTACATCCCTGCCTGACAATGATTAAGGTCTTTGACATCTGCTTCTGAGTCAGTGAAGTTCAGCCAAGATCACACCTTGTGCTTCCCGAATGGACAATCATGGATCAGCAGCAGAGTGATGAGTAATCTCTCTGTTCTCTCCTTCTGTCAGTATATATGACTTCTAGTGCTCACCCTCTTTCTATCCATTCTGCTGTACAGTAGATTACAGTAGGTGGAAATAAAGACATATGTAGGTATTACCTACAGGTACTACATTCATTTTTTTTTTATCTGGCTGGAATTCAGAATTAGCAGACCACCTAATCCAAAAAAACAGACAATCATGTATTATAGAACAATATAAAATATTGAATAACTCTTCCTACACAAAAACACAGACTACAAATACAGCACATTTAATATTTACCTTCTCTTCACTTTAAAACTGGCTTGAGCTTGTGCAGGGCCTGTGAGGTTCAGCAGAGGATTACCACTTAATATATTCTCCATTCGAATCCTCTCCTCTTCCGCTTTCTGCTCTAATTCCTTGAAGTAATCACATAGATGTTAACGGTCATCTTGCAGTGTTAGTGAACATTTATTTTTCTCATTTTCCGCAGAGGTGCACAGTTCTCTGGGTATACTTAGTATTAGTAGAAGCTGCTGTGCTGCTTGTTGAGCTGTGATGAAACGTAAAATACAATGGGACAGAACTGGTTCTGGAGGCCAACCCAACGTTGTGCCATTTGTAGTACTAAATCTCCTGGACACCAGTGAAGGTCAATATATTTGATATAGGGGACCCCCCAAGCTTGGCTCTTGACATGGTCGCACATAAAGTTATAAAAATGTCAGAGACTGAAGATACTACAGTAGATGGTGAGAGACTTTGTAAATGCTACAGGTGATGGTCAGAGACTGGGGATGTGCTACAGGAGATGGTCAGAGACTGCGAACATATAACAGAAGTCTGCTCGGGGGTTCCCGCTATTGTAGTTCCTTTACAAATTAGCTCACCGTACAGCCCCCTTCAAATTACTGGCAACAAATTTGATATTCCGCTCTGCAAAAACCATTATAAAATAAAAGCTTAGAGACAAAGTAAAAACAGAAAAAAAAGAATGGACAGCACAGAAAAAATAAGAAAGTAGCAACCAGTTTGAAGGATAAGAGCACTTTAAAGTGCACTTATCTGTTTGGCCCCTTTAAGCAGAGGTCTCCTTGCCCTGCCTGCACAGTACAATACTGTTAACTCCTATGGGGATCATCCTCCTTCTCTCAGCCGGGAGATGGACCCACAGAAGGCAATGGACTTCGTAGACACAGCAGGAATGTAAACAATGGAGGCCAGGCCTGTCGGAACTTGGGAAGTACGAGTCTGTGCACTGGGAGGGAGGGATTGGTGACGTCAGCTTTAAAAGGGGACAAAAGGATAAGTGCATTTTGTTTTAAATTGTCCTCATCCTTAAAAAAGGTAATTTTCCTTCACTGTCCCCGAGTAAGCACCTAGACAAGCAGAGCATTGACCACTGGCTACTGGAACACAAGGGACGCACAAGAAGTACCAAAGGGTTCCTTGTGGGCCTTGGGCCACAGGGTCCCAAAATAAGTGGCCATCATATCATTCATTCCACAGTGATACTGCCATGGACGTCTACTCCAAAATGGAAATAGCTTACGAAGAAGAAATCTGAGATACACCAAAAGTCCCACAAGTCCCCATTCAGAGGCACATGCGTTATTTTCCTTGAGCTCTTTATCAAAAGGCATATGAAATATATATAGAGGCATGTATATGATGCTGCCCCCTAGTGGTTAACATGTACTCTGCAGAAAGGGTAAAGACACCAACTTTCAGATAGCAGCCTACTTGCTTTGGTATCCTATTAAACCCGTCTACTTCTACCAGCTGGGAAGCTTGTGTCTATTATAACACTGCCTGCTTTTACATCTTTCCACCACTTTACAAACCTTGCCAAAAAAATTATTTTTACATAGACACAGACGTACGCACTTACCATGGACATAGTAGAACATAGTTTTAATGACTATGCTGAGATTAAAAAAAAAAAAAAGCCTTGATACAGCATCACAAACCAACAGGTTTAATGAAAATCGAAGGACAGCGGCTGAAGACAAATTATTCCTTTATGCTTTCATGACCAACTATGCACCTAGAACAGCCGAACAGCACAGATGCAGCCCAAATTAAAGTGGATCCTAAACCCATTTGACTACAAATCCTATCAGCATGCATCTCTGAATGCTGATACGAAATCATCTTACATTAAACTTATTTTCATTTTACTTACAATTTAATTTTTTCACTTCCTGGTCCTCTTTGGCACACATAATGTAATCATGCCCATGCGTTGCATCCTGGGAAGGTTACATTCGAAGAGCATTGCTGGGAAATCTCATGAGATCAGGGAAAGGGAAAAGCATTTTCTTCCCCCGAGATGATGTGCACAGTCACATGTCTAGTCACATGTGCCAGAGTTGCAGGAAGTAAATGGAGATCTAGTAACCTGCCCTTAGTAAACATGGCCGCTGTCAGAATACTGGGAAAGAAATAAGGAATGCAAAGAATACAAAGCCAGCAGCTATCTATAAGTATGTTTGTAGATTGTCATTACTAAAGGTGTGTTTGTTGCCATTTTGAAGATATGGGTGAAGTTCCTCTTTAATCAGCCATATGTAAAGTATAACTAAAGCCTCCGGTGTTGTTGCATACATCTACTGCTAGCAAGCAGTAGATATATGCAAAAAGTGTAAATTACCTGTATCTTCCCCGTGCGCTCCCATCCGAAAATGTGAAAATTCTCGGGCGGCCGCAAAGCATCTTGGGGCGGGCGCATGCGCAGTTCACATTTTCGTCCGGGAGACGAGGAGAGACGCACGGTAAGTATATGGACGGCGTGAACCCGCATGCAGACACCGTGGGACAGGAAGTGCCAGCAAGCCCAGAGGAGTCAGCGATGGATCGGAGACCCGCAGCAGTGCTAGAGGCTAGAGGGACAGATGAAAACATCAGGAAAGAAGAAAATCGGATTAGGAAATATAATTTAAAGGTAAGTGCTGACATTAACATTGGGGGGAGGGAAACATTTTTTTGACTTTAATGTCACTTTAACCTGAATACAACTGTTTCTGGTTTGTTCGCTTTCGTCAGTGCAATGAAAACATACGTTTCTCCGAGACCGTATATGATGAGATACAAGGCACCATGACTAACAGATTATTGCGCGGTGGGCATTCTGTACTCTTGGAAGACTAGATAAAAATACTATTTATTTTTCCACCAGGACGATGTAGTCATTGCTCTTCAATACTCAGCAGCTGAAGGTCATTATCCGTATATACAGCATGACAGCAAAAAGTATGAGGAAGATGACAGGCACAAGTGTAGCTGTGTGTGCGGTGACAAGCCGTGATACAACAATGGTTTTCATGGACAAATCCTGTGCACAAGCAGTATATAATACAGTGATATATAAGAAAACTAATCAATGGCATTGTTCTTTTCCGAATGACCAGTTCCTCCAGCACCGGAATTCATTTCTCAGCTCCTCGTCTTACCTTACGAGCCTGCTCCTCTGCTCGCTCCTTCTTAATTTTCTCCAGCTCTGCCAGGAGGGCGGCGGTATCGTCATCGCTGTCTTCATCAGAGTCGTCATCTTCATCTTCCTACAGGGAAATGTGAAAACAGATTTTTTTTTTAGGTCTGCTCAATGGAGAAGCAATCAGAGTGAGCTCACCAACATTATCCAACTTTGAACAGGACACAGTATGTGGTAAAGCTGGGAATACGGATGGAACCTCTCACCACTGGAGATATAGGACGGTAGCATGAAATTCAGTTTTTCCATAGCAAGGAAAAAACCAACATCACTTGGGGTGAACCTGGCCTTTATTACTGCAATGGCACCCTTCAAGTTTGTGGAAATTATTTCCTCTCATAGCTGGCATGTTAAATGTCTCAAAAGAAATGTAATTCACCTCTTTTTTTAAATAGTAAATACTGCTGAGAGGGTGGATTTTGTCTGCACCTTGCTATACAGCGCTCGGGGGGATACGAGGGACTGAGCAGAACTTTTACATCATTTCCCTAAGCTCTAAGGATAGAACAACGAGCTGTCAATCTAAAGGACTGTGTGCGGATCTAGGCAGGGCTGTTCACCAACAGGGCAACTTACTGATGCCAGCATCTAAGCGGCTACAAGGGTGACAACGCTACAGTGATTCCAGGGTAGGAGAAGGAGCCCGGCTACTCTATCACAGGAAGTGCCTATTCTATGGTTTTCTGGACCAACAGGCAATTACAGAATGATCCAGGGGTATCTAGGAAAAGAGAGAGAGCTTAGTCGTACTGGTATTGGCAGCCTAAATTACAAATGTGATTTTACAGTTCACAGGGTTCATTAAGATAATGGCATCAAATATTTTCATGGCACACTTGTGTGCCTTCCAACACACCGCTCATTCATTGCATCGTTAATTTCATCCCGCAGTCAGCATGTCAAAAGACACCGCCTGGTGGCTGCCCACCTCTAACCAGGTATATTATGGCTGCAGAAACTAATTTAGGGAATACAGGTGTTGTTTGGGGGTTAAAGGGAGATAACGTCATTTGTAATCAACTTTTTAAAGTAAGAGTTCACATACTCCAGCCATGTGATAAATGAAATTCCAGCAATAGATGGATCACTTAATGCTTCAGAGCCAGAATTCCCCTTTTTTAATCAACACATTTTTATGTCTCTAAATTCCATCAGCGTTTCATTATCAGTAACGAGGGGAAAAAACAATTACTTAAAAACAAAAAACATTTAGCTTTCATTCAGTCAAAAACAACATAATCCCTTTATCATACCCTATTAACCCCTTCATGACTGAGCTTGTTTTCAGTTTCTGTTTGTTAATGACTGACACACTTACATTTTTGCTGTGTGATTCTTCCACGTCAGTAATATACTTTCTTACAAAGTGTAGTGCACCCACACATATTATATATTGTTTTTTAGGGGACAGATAGGCATGCATATGTCATATAATCACAGAGCATGAACACCTCACTTAATACAAATAAAATATTAAAAAAAAGAGAAAAAAAACATAAAGGAAACACTTTATCCACAGATGGTTATTTTTTTGAAGAATAGTACAGCTAAAAAAACAATGCATTAAAATAAATTCATTTATTTGGAAACACCTCACATTCCTAGGATTTCAGAAATGTTTTTGTACTTCTCAGACTAAAAGCTCACATTTTAATTTTTCTCTAAAAGCGAATAGTGGTTAGGTTAGGTGGCCTACAAAGTCACTGTCACTAAATGTCACATTTTGGGACAGCAATATAACATCGCAGGCATGAGGTGGTTAAATCTAAAAAAAAACTAACCCCTTAGGGTGAAAAACAAATCTGCAGCTCAACTGCAGGTTTTCATTGTAAGGGGTTAATTTTTATAATAATGATAATAAAATTATATATACACAAATATATTTTATACTATTTTATTTTTCTTTTACACTTTTTTTTACATGTTTGTCAATTATATCCAGCAGTCATTATGACTGCTTGATAATTTCATACATTTTTGGTTATTATTAGGCTGCCCCAAACTTAAGAACAGCCAATAATAATCTTAGCGACACTGAACATGACATGCTGATTCGGCAGCATGTCAGCATCAGATCTTACTAAAGACTTCTGATCGTTCCCAGAATGATCAGAAGTCTGATACAATGTTTCAACATAGAAACATGTGGCAAAAAGCCAGTACACATCGGGATCTGTACAGAGCTGTCTAAAGTGTGATATCAGAGTGGTTCACACCGCTGTTATCACTGTCAGATACTTGATCTCTGACCGGGATCAGGTATCTGTAAAAGTTAAATTCTTGAATTAATGGATCCCTCAATACTGAGGCATCCATGAATGAAAGGGAACCACTGATCTCAGCAGTTACCGGCTTTTGACAGCTCCAAACAGCTGATCACGTACAGTGTACATGAGCAGTCATTTGTGCACTTCGTGATGGGGACGTACAGTGTACGTCTCCAGTCATGAAGTGGTAAAAAAAAAAAAAGGCAAATCCTCTGACATCCACAACTGCTTCTAATTTGATCTAGAAAAAAATTGTTTGAAACACATTCACAAAGAGTCAATTCACAGCCAGCGATCACTGAAGCCTGCACTGGGAAAAAGTCCGATACATACGTCTGTGAGCGGGTCGTCTGCATCCAAATTTGCTGCTGGGATCTGGTCTAGACGAGGCTTCTTTGACACGGATGATGTGTGCTCTAAAACAAAGACAGCGATATTTTTCACACAGAAATTACATTTGACTTCATATTACACATTTCAGTGAGAGGTGAAAACTGACTACAAAGACTAGTAAAAACACACAAAAACTAAATTAAATGTGAAAGCTACAGGAACCTATCAGAACATTTAGGTCCTGGGTGGGGTGCTGTTAGAGCCATTGGGACACCATTGAAAATACTTGCAGAGCCATTCATCCCATAAAACTGCATGTACATTCATTCTCTGCAAATGGGGCAAAAACTAAAGCTATCAGTATACTTTATTTCCAGGTTGAATGTAATTCGTTTGCGCAACATAAAAATTTTCAACTACCACCATTTTATTCTATAGGGTCTTGGCATTCAGAAAATATATAATGTTGGGGGGTTTTACGTCATTTTCAGGCCTAAAATGTGGAATATAACATGGGTGCAAAAATGGAAAAAAGGGCCTCAGTCATGAAGGGGTTAAGCTACTTTTGTGTAATATGTGCAGTATGCTTGGATATGCGTTCCCTCTATTTGTTCTGCGATGCTTCTCTTTGGCTAAAGTAAAGAATTTCAATTGTAAAAAAAAACACATTATGGCCACGAGATGGAGATGATAGGAAATAAGTAGTACACCCTCTGCTCCCTCCAGTTGCCATACTGCTGTGTGCTTTCTTGATTCGCACTATTCTAGTCAGGGGTGCGGAATTCCTATTGCTCGACGCCCAGGACAGCGCCGTGGTTTTCGGGGTCCCCCGTTCCTCTGACCACGGCACATGAGCTCACCATAGAGCCCGTAGAGCAGACGAAGAACGTCCGTTCTTCGTTTGCTCTGTGATCACAGCGCCATCTATCTGAGCTGTCAGGAACTGCACAGAACATCTGTTCTGTGTTGGAGGGCAGGTTGCATAGAGAGGACCTGTCACCTCCAAACTATTCCACTGTGTGCCATATTGTGGTAGCCAGGCAGCAGTACTCTCCTACTTGCACAATGTGCATTAAAGGGTAAGTTCACTTTCCCAAGTAATATGGGAAAATTGAGTTATCCAATCAAATCTGTCCTGATCTCTCCCAAACCCACCCCCCGGCTATACTTACCTTTCGGCAAACAGTCCTTACCCTCCGCCAGTACAGTTGTACTATCTGTACCCCGTACCGCAGTCCAGCCCTATACATTTTGAATTTCGGTCGCAAATTGCAAGCACTCATTAGGTGATGCACCAATACAGAGTATTTAGGCGAGTAATTGTACTCGCCCCAACTGCTCCGATACCTTCTCCAATACTGGAACTTCTGGTCAGCGGAAGATTTCCTCTGACCGGCAGTGCCGTAGGGGAACATGGAGCCAGCTTCCCATGCAATCAGGAAGCAGGGCAGCGACTAATGACCTGCCTCCCGGTTTCCTGGGAGGAAATCAGGTCATTACTGGCTGCCCAGTTTCCCGATTGGCTGGGAAGCTGTTTTCCCGGCCAATCACAATCAAGCCACCAGAACAACATGGAGTCGGCTTCCCAGGCAATCAGGAAGCTGGGTAGCATTTAATTACCCACTGCCCAGCTTCCTGATTGCCCAGGAAGCCTGCTCCATGCCAAAGGAAGTACCAATACTCGGTATCGACGAGTACCGAAAGCAAAATATCAGTGCCCATACTCGATACCCAAAAACCTATATCGGTGCATCCCTACTTTTGATTAAAACTATTTTTTTTTGTATTGGGACAAGTAGATTGTCATGAGGGACAAGCAGATTCGGCCCCCGATTTAGCCCTTGGACAAGTAGATTTTTAAAAATTTCCACACCCCTGCTAGTGAATGAATTGTAGGACACTTCACAGGAAGCGAGGGAAAAAAAAAAAAAAAAAAAATCACACAAATGGGTTCACAAAAAGTTATATACATCTCAGACGTTCTAACTAGAGATGCACAGAATCTTTTGGTAACCAAACATTTTTCGGCCAGAAAATGGTACTTTGGCCAAAATGCCAAAAGTACAATTTTGTTGCCGAAAATACTTTGCATCTCTAGTTGGCAGAGGCAGGAGGGATTAGTAGGGACACAGAGCTGCGCCCAACAGGGAGGAGCTTTCAGGAGTCCGAGCGAGGCAGGGAAGAGAGTGCTGTCAGCGGTATCACTGGAGGCTGAGCTCTCCTCCCCGCACCGCCGACTTGGCCTCCAGTGACAGCTGCCTTCTCCCCGCACCGCTCTCTATCCTGATTTGCTTTTCAGAAGAGGCTGAGAGGGGAGGAGATTGCTGTCAGCAGTGTCACAGGAGGCCGAGCTCCCATCCCCGAACCCCCGCTGAGCCTCCTTTTACAGACGAGCAAGGCTGGAGAGCAGTATACAGGGGCGTGGCCAGCAGCCGAATGTGAGCAGACGTCTGTAGGGGAGCTCTCCCGCACTTTATCCTGAACGATACCCGTCGGGCTTTCCGGTACTCGTCTATCCTGCACTAGCCGATTGCCTAGGTCTCGCTGACGCCTGCACTCCGTTTTCGGGCTTCCTGCAGCCACATTGAGACCGGGAGATGTCCAAGAAGAAGGACGGTAAGGGCCTCCCTCCCGCGATCCAAGATGGCGGCGGCACACAGCACACGCTCCCCACCCCTAGCAAGCAGACAGGGGACAGAGGCAGGGATACAGCGGCGCGACTGGAGCGCTTCGCCCGCCATCCTGACACCCCTGCTAAGGGGCAGAGGCTCTCCTATTCTGCAGATCGGGCCACCCGCAGGGAGCTACTGCCAGATCGGCTGCAATCCTCAGCCTCTGATTCAGATGGGCCGGACGCCATCTTGGGCACAGTGAGTAATGCTCACAAGACCAGTAAGGCCCCCAAAGCGTCCAAAATCAAAGCCAAGCCAGCTGAACCCACTATTGCCGATGTCCTATCGGCTGTACAGCTCTGCAACTCCGCATTGACCTCTCTCACAGGGGAGGTGCATGGGATGAGGGCTGATATCACTTTTATACGTCATGATTTGCAGAAGGTGAGGGAACGCACCTCTGCCTTGGAAAGCAGGGTTAGTGACCTGGAGGACTCTTTGCACTGCTATAGCACTTAAAAGGGCCTTATTTACCGCAACCAGGATGGTGGTTCGTAAATGGATCTCCCCGTCACCTCCTACATTGAACTCGTGGGTAGCTGAACTGGATAGGATGGTAGCGTACGAGAGGGTTACTTTTAAACAGAGGGGTACCTTGCCTAAGTTCCACTCTATTTGGGACGACTGGCTGACGTACAGGGGTCATGACCTCTCTGATTAACCGGCTTGCACGCATTCTCACGGTGGATACATACAGCTAGTCTTGGCTTCTATTGCATGTAGTCATGTGTTCGCAGCAGGGGGTGTCGGTTCTTCGCACAGTGGTTTATAGGTTTTATGTCTCTTGGGGGGCTTGGTTTAGTTTATGCTCAACATAAGCTCACACAAGTGGTCAGCATGTTCTTGTCGAATTTCACTATCTGCATGACATTATGCTCCCCTTCCCTCCCTCCCCCTCTTGGATTATTTGTCTGCTGGCTTGCTACTGGGTTTTTGTTTTTGGTTTCTTTTTTTGTTTTTGTTTTTGTGTTTGTCTACTGTACGTGTAAAATGTGTAAAATCAATCAATAAAAACTATCTGATTTAAGGAGAGCAGTATACACTCAGTGAACAGCTGAGAGTGTTTGTAAATAACTGGACATAGCAAGCTTTCTGTGTCCCAGTTATGAACAGGAAGTGTTCTACATCACTTCCTGTTCATTCATGATTGTGGAGATAGTACCTCTTACTATATCCACAGTTGATGAATGGACAGGAGCACTCAGTAAAGAGGATTCCTGTTCATACTAACAGGGAATGCAGAATAAGCAGAATGCAGAAAACAAATCTCTTTTTGTATTTTAAAAAGGGAAACATCAGGGGTCTGTTTAGAACCCCAATATTTCCCCAGAGCCCCTAACAGTAAAATAAAAAAGACTAAACAAACATACATTAAAAAATAATTTTAAAAAAGTTAGGGAGATTTTTGGTTTTGGCCCGATAAGCTTTATTTTTGGTTTCAGTTTAAAAATTCCATGTCAGTGCCTCTCTAGTTCTAACCATTCACAACTCTCTTTAAGACAAAAGAAAAATAAGGTTTCCTGATTTTAGTCGAGCTTTCAATTAACTCAATGATAAAATTCAACAATAATAAAGAAAAAGTCTTCACTGCTCCTACCTCTCGGGGGTCGGTCTCTGTTCTTCTCTCGGGCAACCACACGTTCTCTCTCCTCCAGGTCCCTCCTGAAGTCCCGGCTTCTCACCTCCTCGGGGGCATCCTGGGTGGTTTGTCTAGTCATAGCAAAAAAACATAAAATTACATGACTTGTTTTGTAATTTTTGTCACACAGAAAGGAAGAGGAAATGTCAGGAGATGAGGACAATAAGGACATCGCAATACAATCCTGACAGAGGCTCCAACCCTCCCCCACTTTTATTTAAAACAAGAAAAACATCTGAGCTGGAGTTGCGATTTAAAGTGTTTGCCACACTCTCTCATGTGCTGTCTGGAAGATGACCGGAGGACTGTACAATGTATGTTTTGTCTTAAATAAGCCGGTAAGTATGGAAAAATACCGATTGATCCTGCCAGAAAACGCCTAAATACTAGTTGTAATCTTTGCTCAGTTCTTCCCAGCTGGAGTACAGAACACAAAGCCCGCTCCTCATCTCTATAGCTTAAAGGAGTTGTAAAGTCCCAGCATATCCTCTTCTGCTATAACATCACCATTGTAACAGGAATACATACCAGCGTTGTTTCTGATAATACAATCAAAGCTTACTTGGAAAAATCCCTTTTATGTAGTGAGTGCCGCCTTCCGTCTGCCCATCACTACCACCAACTTCCTGGATTCCCAGTGTGATTTGCATCTCCTTCCCTGCTGCTTAATGTGATGCAATCTCCATTTCCCAATACTACATATCCCATCACACATTGCTTCCAGCAAGCAATGATAATATTACATTGTTTAGATGTTGAATTGTAGTTCAGAAGGCAGACTCTGTGAAAGTTGTGAGAAGGGAGTGCATATTCGCAGTGCTGAGTGAAATGGTGTCAGTGCATTGAGGAAGTCCATCCTATGGGTATCTTCAATAAGTAAGTTTACAAACTTCTACATGGATCTGGTTATTAGGGGTGGGATAAAACTTATGGAAATTCAATATAGAAATACAGATTTCCAGTTATTGGCCACTGATGACCTTTAAGGGGTGGTGTTCCATAGTACAGCAGCAAAAAGCTGGGAAAAGTAAAGATTTTTGCAGATATGTACCGAATAGGGATGCACCCATATATTGGTCGAAAATGGCACTTTTGGAATAATGCCGAAAGTGCCATTTTCCTGCCGATACATCGGCGCATCCCTGGTTTCTTTCATCCCCACTGGGCACTGCTCTGTGTCCCAGTGGGGAGGAGAGAAACTATGATAGCCGACTGAGCGATGCGGGAAGAGAGCGCAGTAAGCAGCCGGCGTCCCTCCTCCCACACCGCTCAGCCTCCTATCACAGTCCGGCAGAACGGTGTGTGGGCGGAGAGAGGCCGCGCTGTCACAGGAGGCTGAGCTGTCCTTCCTGCTCCACTGGCTCAGCCTCCTGTGACAGCGTGTCAGAGAGGAGAGCGAGAGCAAACACTCAGTGATCGCTGAGTGTTTGTAGATAATTGAGGACATGGTATGTGTACTATATCCTCAACTATGAACGAATGGGAAGTGATCTACATCACCTCCTGTTCATTCATGATTGTAGTTATAGTAAACATACTCTGTCCTCAAGTTATCAATGAACAGGAACACTCAGTATAGAGGATTCCTGTTCATTGATAACAGGGGATACAGAAAAAGAGATTGAGGACACAAAGTCCTCAATCTCTTTTTCTATTTTAAAAGGGAAATATCAGGGGTCTGTTAAGACCCCTGATATTTCCCCAAAGCCCCTAAAAGTAAAGTAAAAAATAAAAACATTTAATAAAAAATGAAAATCAAAGTTTATAAAAAAATAAATTAAAATATTTAAAAAAATTAAAATAAAAAACATTTTCGGTATCGGTTTCGGCCTGACCTTTTTTTTTACGGTTTCGTTTTGATTTTAAAATTTCCAATGCAGTGCACCTCTAGTACTGAACATGTCTTTTTTTCCCCAAAAAAATACATTTGTCTGAAGCTTCAGCTCAAAGGCCAAACTCCTCCATAGGAAAGGAGTGCTAAATGTGCCAAGTCACCTGTATTTGATCTTGGTGTGTGACGGGAGGTCTCTGCTGGAGTACTGCTTGGAAAGCTGACTTAGATCTCCTTCTCCTTTCCCTCTGCCGCCCCTGGCTGGCTCAAACGTTGGCCTGGCCGCGGTGGTCATCTTCTAAACCGCTGTCACATACAACAGACAGGAACACAACAATTATTTGGGATGTTTTAATCAGATTAAATATGCAAAACAGAAATCAGCTTTATTCTGGGACAACAATATAAAGCTTTAATAAAAGTACTACAAAAATGATACAAAGACACTGAGGCATCCTGGGCACTTCCATGGTCACTGCAAGCCAGCTCTCACATGACCAAAGATGATGCATGTCAGCACAGTGGTCTGCAGTCCCTAAGTCCAGTTTTAGTGGGCTCTGATGCCCTATTTCGCATACACTATATTGCCAAAAGTATTGGGACGCCTGCCATTAAATGCACATGAACTTTAATGGCATCCCAGTCTTAGTCCGTAGGGTTCAATATTGAGTTGGCCCGCCCTTTGCCGCTGTAACAGCTTCAACTCTTCTGGGAAGGCGTCCACAAGGTATAGGAGTGTGCCTATGGGGATGTTTGACTATTCTTCCAGAAGCGCATTTGTGAGGTCAGGTACTGATGTGGGACGAGAAGGCCGGGCTCGCAGTCTCCGCTCTAATTCATCCCAAAGGTGTTCTATTGGGTCTATGTCATCCCCAAGTATCTGCCCAGAGTAGGTGGTGTTGAGCTGAGCGGGCTGTACTGTGAACATGCTGGCGATGGGGCACAGGTATGTTTACAACTTGTCAGGGATGAGAAAAGACGACACCTGAGCCCACCAAGTGTAAGTCCACTACTAATCACTAGAAAACTTCATGACTGTCCAATACGTAATCATTTTACTTTTATGAATGTTACAATTTGTTGCGAGTTTGTGTTATCAAAACATTTCATGTGAAAGTGACTTGCAGCACATCGTCAAGTCTGCATGAATAAATCCCCAAGACCTAACAATATCAGATTCCAGAAAAGCTCCCCGATTATCATTAATCAGCAGTCAGTGCTCCAGTCCAATGACTTTGCCTAGGCAGAGATGATGCCATGAGTCTGCTGCGGGCAGGTGGAAGCATTTCCTCAGTCTCCTCTCCCCTGCGGTCAGACAAATATTCTAAATTTACAGCAAGCCTCAAGGTGAGAGGCTTCTTACCTATGGGAGGACGCGGCTGCACGCAATTACACAATATCATGTGCACACCTGAACATCCATGCGGCTCCCAGTGTCCGCACTTGGACGCAGACAGTGCGCAATTACACACAGCACCTAACCCTCCAGCAATCAGATTTGTCTATGGGCGTGCGTGCTGTACAGATGTACACCCATCTGAATGAGCCCTTAAAGTGTATTTCCACCTTTGCAGCCAAACAGTTTGTATACAAGGGTGAACATCCATCCCTAATCGCAGGTAATCACTCCATGTGTATCTACTTGCGAACAGCCGCAGACACGGTCAAGCCTCTCATCACTTTGCACTGGCTGATCTGCCGCTCCGAGCGGAAGGTATTAGTGAGGCCGCAGGTTCCTGTCTGACAGTCTAAGCAAGCACCAAATCCAGGTACATTGTGATATACAAAGTGAACAATAAAGGCATGGGGGGGGAATTTATCAAAACTGGACAGAAGAATCTGGAGCAGTTGTCCATAGTAACCAATTAGCTTCTCTCTTCAGTTTGTTCAGTTAAGATTTGAAAATAAAAGAGAGATGCTAAGTGGTTGTCATGGGCAACGGCACTAGATTCTGTCTGCTCCAGTTTTGATTAATTCCCCTAATAGAAAGTCTGTTCTTTTTGTAAATTTATAGCACATATATATCTATATTAGCAGGCCATAGTTCTACTTTGGTCAATGGTGACTGGTCCACTTCATATCTGCGAGTGTGGCCCTAAAACTGAACACAGAATGCCCCCCCATCGTAGTATAAATGTATAGTGGTGTGTACTGATATGTACAGCCCTGGGATGCTGGGGAGTCCACACCAAGCTATGTAGGGTAGGACACACACAGCTCTATATATCTCCCCCAGATCAGACCCCCCATCACCCGCACACAACACCTTCTTACCCCGGAGGATCCCGACCCTCCAATCCGGAACAGCCGATTCCAGAACCGGAACCACACTCAAGCGTCACACGCAGCCTTCTCTGCGAGCACATCCGGCGCACAGTGGTGACGTCTCACACCGCGGCGCCGCCATCTTTACAACTGGCGTATGTAGTCTGTTTTTTTTCCACAACTTACTAGACATAGAGAAATATTTATCTGTAGTCCTGGGGAAGGGTTATTTGAGACTACAGATACCTGCTAATAACATGCTATTGCTATGTACTCCGCAGCATTGCCATACTTTCCAACCTCCTGGGAAGGCAATAGATTTGTAGAAAGAGCGCTGGGACCGTGATAAGGGAAATATGAAACATTAAATTAGGGTTTTTGCGATCAGCTAGTAGGGGTAGGCAAACATTGGCCCTCCAGCTGTGGTGAAACTACAAGTCCCATGAGACTTTGCATGACTGACAGCCGCAGATGTGACTCCAAAAGGCAAAGGCATGATGGGTTTCGTAGTTTTGCCTACCCCTGAACTAGGGTATAGTAGGTGCAATAGTACTCTGCTGGAAAACAAATCTATAGTGTCAAATGAAACTTGTAAAAGACAGGGATCCCAACCTGAAAGAAGCAATTTCAGGGAGGTGCGCTCTCCCCCCCCCCACCCACGGAGGGGGGGTTAGGGGGGCTGGGAGAGAGCACCCCCCTGAAATGATGGCAGATAGCAAAGGAAGCAATGGCTTATTTGCTATCTGCAGGTTTTTTTTCTGATTTTTTTTTTTTTGTATTGTGACAGTTGCAGTCGTCAGAATAAAATAAAAAGGCATAAGAATGCATAGCTAGATTCCTATTGGCTATTGCAAAGTGCAATAGCCAATAGCAAACTAGCTATTGCCCCCGCCCTCTGCTGCTTTCAATCACCAGAAGAGGACCTGATAGAAAAATTCAGCTCCCCCTCTGCTGATTGACAGCAGCAGTGGGCGGGTGCATTACCTAGTTTGCTATTGCAGAGTGCAATAGCCAATCTAGCTATGCATTCGTATGCCTTTTTTTCCCCCTTTCTGACTGAAGGTCGGGCCGCGGCTCCCGATGTCAGAAAAAAAAAAAACGATCGCAGGGAAAGGTTTATCTGCTCGATCGAGCAGATAAACCTTTCCGGGAGGAAGTATTTCTCTCCCGGGCGGCCGGGAGCCGCTATCTAATAGCGGGAGACTCCTGGAGCGTCCGAGAGAGTTGGGATGTCTGAAAAGAAAAGACTTCACCAGCACTCAGCTCAGGATCAAAGATGGAAATTGTTTTATTAATGTTTCATAGGTCAGAGAAAGCCAACGTTTTTGGGCCTCATCAGGTGACAGGGAGGTCACCGTGGTGACTTGCGGAGGGGACTCTGTGGGCCCCGAAATATTGGCTTTCTCTGACATCAGTAAAACCAATTCAGTCTTTGATGCTGAACTTAGCACCGGTGACGTCTCTTCTACACTACGAGCACCATCCAGACATACAATATTGCATGGAGTGCAGCCCAGCACCTTATTACTCCATTCGCTGATTAGAAGGCCACCACCAGAAAGAACGCATCCCTTTAAGAATGAAAAAACACATGAGCTTCTAGATCAGGGGTGGGCAACTCTGGCCCTCCAGCTGTTGGGGAACTACAAGTCCCATGAAGCATTTCAAGGCTGAGAGTTACAGGCATGACTTCCAGAGGCGTTACATGTTGGGGTTTGTAGTTAAAGCACAGCTGGAGGGCCGGAGTTGCTCACCCCTTAGTCTAGATTATACCCAACTACCCTCTATGGAATGAAGGAACAATTCCTTTTAGATAAACATCTTCCTTGTGAAAAGGTTTACACAAAGCAGTCCATTCATATAAAAGGCACAGTCCAGCTTGCATTGGGGCCTGCAAAACATTGCAACTGCAATTAGTGTATCAGGGTGCAATGCTCTGGCTCCTGCATACTCTTCCTCTCAGCCCCTGTTTGTACCAAGATAGGACTTTCAGAGAAGGGACGGGAGGAAGAATGAATGGACAACAAGTGCGGTGACGTCACTACACTTGTATTCCATTGAGAGCTGTAAGTTCCTCTGCTGGGGTGGCTGATGAGGCTTGTAGTCTCTCCATTCAAAGATCCTGTCAAATGATCTGTAAACGGATGACTAAGATGTGTGGGTGGAGCATAACTGCAAGGAGAAAAACCTTGGGGGGTTATTTACAAACATTTGGCTAATCCTTCGGCTGCAGGAACACTTTGGTTCCGCCGACGTGAAGGGCTGCTGTACTGTACACTCTATTCACAATCGCTCACACAGCAGCCGAAGTAAAGAGCCAAGCCGAACGCATATGCTTCGGCTCGGCACAGCTAAACACACAGCCGGAGCGGGACCAAATCCCCTGCGAGTTGTTAAAAAATAGAATAACAATAAAAAAAACAGCGCAGGGCCCCACTCCCAAATCATACCAGACCCTTGAGGTCTGGTAGGAACGTTAGGGAGGGACCCCCGATGTAAAAAAAAAAAAGCTTGGGTCTGTTAGGAATTTTAAGGGGGACCTCGGTGCCCCCAAAAAAGGAAAAAAATGTGGGGTCCCCCTAAGATTCCAAACCAGACCCTTAATCCGAGCACTTGCTTGGCAGGGCAGGAAAAGGGGGGGAGGAAACGAGCGAGCACTCCCCACCCCCCCGCAACCATACCAAGCCACATGCCCTCGGGAGGGTGCTTTTCCGGGGGGGACCCCCTGGAAAGTCACCTTGTCCCAATGGCGATGAGCACAAGGGCCTCTTCCCCACAACCCTGTCCCGGGGGTTGTGGGGGTCTGCGGGCAGGGGGTGCTCATTTGCATCTGGGTACCTCCTTTCATATAGGGGCACCCAGATGTCGCCCTTCCCTCTTGTGAATGAGTAAGGGGTAGTTGTTACCCCTACTCATTCACCAAAGAGAAAATGTAAATGGTAAATAAAAACACTACAATGTGAAAAAAAATTTGACATGTTTGGTGTCTATTTACCCGACGTGACCCCGACTTTTATATTTTACCAAAAAACTGGTTAATAATAAATGTTTCCTAACATAATGTAAAAAAAACTTTTTTTTTTCAAAATTTTCTGTAATTTTTCCTAATTATAATAAAAAATAAAAACCCCAGTGGTGATTAAATACCACCGAAATAACGCCCTATCTGTCCCCAAAAAATGGTATAAAATTCATTTCAGTACAGCGTTGCATGACGGAATAAACGTCAGTCAAAGTATCGCAGCGCTGAACACTGAAAAATGGCCTGGCCAGGAAGGGGGTCTAAACACCTGGTCTTGAAGTGGTTAATTGAACAAAAAATAAAAGTAAGTTTTTGACAATTTCTTTATTATGAACCCCCCCCCCAAAAAAAAATCATCATGTATTCCAGCATCAATCACATTGTCCAGCACTGTAATCCAACATCAATGGCGATGAACGATGCCTGCCAACATGCCAAAAACAAAAAAGTCCCGCCTCTCGCCGACCTGACTGCTCATGCCGAACTCAACTCCGGCCCGAGGCGAGTTGTGACATCACGACTCGCTCTGCCCACTAATTTCATGCCATGACAGCTAACTGTCCTCAAATGGCATGTAACCCACTGGGTGGCACAAGTGCCATGACGTAAAGTGCTGTACAGTAGCCACCGCTCCAAGCTCACTCCCGTGATGGACTACAATCTCAATACAAATGAGTAAACTAAACCTGAGATTGTAGTCCATCATGGGAGTGATCTTGGCGCAGTGTCTACTTTACAACACACACAGGGACCATGGGGAACTAAAGTAGCCACCCTCCAGAAGGAAGTGCGGTGTCAGCACCAATTCAGAGATGATTTGAGGATAGGGTTGCCACCATTTCTTCAAGTGAAACCTAAACACTCCAGCGCAGCGTGGAATTTTTTTGGGAGAATATACAGGAGACAGCCAGGAGAGAGAGCAAGGAGAGAATAAGGTAGCCTTACACTGACCGCAAATGTAACAAAGGTATTCTCAGTGACCGCCAAAGTAACAGAGGTATATACACTGACCAGCAATGTAACGGAGGTATATACACTGACCAGCAATGTAACGGAGGTATATACACTGACCAGCAATGTAACGGAGGTATATACACTAACCAGCAATGTAACGGAGTAGGGATGTCCCGATACCAATGCTAGCATCGGAATCGGGCCCGATACAGGGCATTTTGACAAGTACTTGTACTTGTCAAAATTCCCCTATGCCTAGCGCCGAAGCTTGCACGTTTTTTTTTTTAACTGTCCGTGGGGTCCTTTTTACCGTCCTCTGGGCAGGCTGGAGGAGCGTCGCGTCACTTCTCTGGGCAGCGCTCCAGGCGGGGTCCTAATGTGGTTGGCCTGCGACTGCCCAGAGGACTCCGCCTGTAGCTCCGCTCAGCGCCGCCGACGTCCTCGAAAAAAAAAAAAGCATTCGGCACCTCCATTGGCAAGAGTGAGTAAGGGCCTGTGCTGAACACATGTATAATAGCAAAGAAGTCAGTAGTTGCAATGCTCATGATAAGGGGTCCTCACTGTCCCTATGTGTCTGCACCAGCCATGACCATGGGTATCAGTACCGTCAAGCACCCAGGGCACATGCCCACATCCCTGGGTGCTCAGGCTGCTTCCACCCACTGTTGATCTGTGGAGGTTTGTACAGAGGAGAGCTGGAGTGGGGGGGGGCAGAAGTGCTGAGATGTGGACAGGGATTTAGAGATGAGCTGTGGCTGGGTGGTGAAGAGGTGAGGTGTGAATAGTGGTGCAAAGGTAAGCTGTGGCGAGGGGGAGCAGAGTTTAGCTGTGGACAGGGGGTATAGTGGTAAGCTGTGAACGAGGGGGCAAAGGTGAGCTCTGAATGAGGGTTACAGAGTTTAGCTGTGGACATGGAGTTCAGAGGTGAGTTATGGGCAAGGTGTGCAGAGGTGAGCTTGGTAGAGGGGAGTGCAGAGGTGAGCTGTAAAATGGGGGTGCAGGGTGAACTGCAGGCAAGGTGCAGAAGAGAGCTGTGGATGGAGCGGAGAATAGAGATGCAGAGATATGATGCTTGTGGGACTGTAATTAAATAATATTTTGTGGGTTCAATTGCC